AGTAGAAGTCACACAGCGCCGTCTCGTCATTATGGAGTCGGCGGAAACAGCCGGCATACACTGGGGAAATAGTTCAAAGAGCCGGCAATGTGGAGTTTAAAAGCCGGCATACACTGGGGAAATAATGCAAAGAGCCGGCAATGTGGAGTTTAAAAGCCGGCATACACTGGGGAAGTAGAGTGAAAAGCCGGCAATGTGGAGTTTAACAGCCGGCATACACTGGGGACATAATGCAAAGAGCCGGCAATGTGGAATTTAACAGCCGGCATACACTAAGAAATAAGTGCAAGTAAACCATCGATCTGTAATCTAATATCCGGTATATCTTTATACCATACATTGAAAGCAGTGCAAATGTCATTAACAGCAAAACTTGTTTACATGGAAACATCAATCTGGGTACTTCAAAGATACGAAACAAGTTTTGTTATATCTGGGTTTAACAAATTATATTGTGTTTCGCATATACTTACATTTTCTTACATCAAAATCTTCAAAGGGCTTGAAAATTGGCTCTTCAATGTAGCCTGAAATCACGCAGTTCACAAATTACTGTCTTATACGTTGCCTTTTTTAAAAATTATGGCTATCACTGGTACTACTTAAGAAGATGTTCTCTATCTTGGCATTTACTATATATATATATATATATATATATATATATATATATATATATATATATATATATATATATATTTATTTATTTATATTTATATATATATTTATATATATATATGGTTCCATGACAAATGATCTCAGGACAAATGATCTCAGACAAAATATGTCAGACAAAATGTATCAGGACAAATGATACCATGGACAAATAGGTAGCCAATTACCTGTATAAAACATACTACAGGTAGCCACTTACCTGTATAAAACATGCTATAGGTAGCCACTCACCTGTATAAAAAAATGCTACAGGTAGCCACTTACCTGTATAAAACTGCTACAGGTAGCCACTTACCTGTATAAAACTGCTACAGGTAGCCACTTACCTGTATAAAACTGCTACAGGTAGCCACTCACCTGTATAAAATGCTACAAGTAGCCACTCACCTGTATAAAACTGCTACAGGTAGCCACTTACCTGTATAAAACTGTTACAGGTAGCCACTTACCTGTATAAAAAATGCTACAGGTAGCCACTTACCTGTATAAAACTGCTACAGGTAGCCACTCACCTGTATAAAATGCTACAAGTAGCCACTCACCTGTATAAAACTGCTACAGGTAGCCACTTACCTGTATAAAAATGCTACAGGTAGCCACTTACCTGTATAATAAACGCTGTAGCTGGCCTTCCCCCCACATGCCTGTTTGACTTCAGCCAAACATGGCTTGTCACAGGTGCTCGAGTCTTTCTCCACAAGAGCTCGTAAAGCATTGGAGCACATACACGTCCTGCCTTCCTAAACAATAAACATACACGTCCTGCCTTCCTAAACAATAAACATACACGTCCTGCCTTCCTAAACAATAAAATATACGTCCTGCCTTCCTAAACAATAACAAATATACGTCCTGCCTTCCTAAACAATACAAATACACGTCCTGCCTTCCTAAACAATAAACGTATAGGTCCTGTTTTCCTAAACAATAAACGTATACGTCCTGTTTTCCTAAATATAAACATGCACGTCCTGCCTACATAAACATACACATCCTGCCTTCCTAAACAATAAAAATTTACGTCCTGTCTACCTAACAATAAACATATACGTCATGTCTTCCTAAACAATAAACATGGACGTCCTGTCTTCCTAAACAATAAAAATATACGTCCTGTCTACCCAAACAATAAACTTATACGTCCTACCTTCCTAAGCATGCACGTCCTGCCTTCCTAAACGATAAAAAACATACGTACAGTCTTCCTAAACAAAACAAAATATACGTCCTGTCTTCCTAAACAAAATATACGTCCTGTTTTCCTAAACAATAAAATATACGTCCTGCGTTCCTAAACAATACACATGCACGTCCTGCCTTCCTAAACAATAAAACAATATACGTTTTGTTTTCCTAAACAATACAAATATACCTAGTGTCTTCCTAAACAATAAAAAAAAAATATACGTTTTGTTTTCCTAAACAATAAAAAATATACGTCCTGTCTTTCTAAACAATAAACATGCACGTCCTACCTTCCTAAACAACATGCACGTCCTACTTTCATAAACAATAAAAATACACGTCCTGTCTTCCTAAACAATACAATCAACATGCGCTTTCTAAACTCAGACATTACCTTTAAGCTAAAACAACGGAAAAGTAACATGAATATAATTCAGAAGGACGAATAAGACAACAAACTCGCATACAGCAACACGAGAGGATAGATCGCCTCCCACCTTGAGTAAAGCGAACCTCTGCCTCTCCTCCCAACAGGCGACGACACAGATGACCACATCGTTGACCACCAGGTGTTCCAGCTTCAGGACAAAGCTGTCCAGCCAGCCTGTCGTCATCGTGAAGCAGCCGATGTAGGCGGCGTGACCTGGTTTTTTGGCTGTTAAATGGTGTCAAATGTTTGAGCCACTACTAGGGTTAGGGCGAAGATTAGGATAGTCTATATATATATATATATATATATATATGTATATATCTAAATCTATATATATACATATATAATAATATAAACATATATATATATATATATATATATATATATATATATATATATATATATATATATATATATATATATATATAGGCGTATAAACAAATAAATTTCAGTGGTTACAAGTTCTCTTTTAAAGTTGAAATAAATAAAAAAAAATATTTAAAAAAATAGATTTTACAACTCTTCAATGATGTCTTTTTGTGAACTTTGACATCAGTTAATACAGCCAGTGGTTAGCGAGGTCGGGTGTCACCCGGCGCGGCATCATTTTATAGTGTCACCCCCCCCCCCCGAGGCGTAGCGACCCTTCCCGGGGACAAACTTTCGATTTGGCGCCCCCCCCCCCTCGGGATCAAACTTTTCAATTTGCAATTTGCAACCCCCCCCCCCCTCAAACTTTCGATTTGCAGCCCCCCCCCCTCCCCCCTCCCCACGTCCAACCTTGTCGGGATTCGTAAAATTTGTTCTTAAAAGACTATTTAACACTCGAACTAATCACTTAATTAAGTGGAATTATCATCTTTCTCTATATAATTTGCTACTTTTTGCCTTGTTGTTGTTCCCCCCCCCCCCCCGAAATGGTGTCATCCGGTGCGGACCGCACTCCCCCCCCCCCCCCCCGCGACGCCACTGAATACAGCTCATCCGACTGATCGAGTATCGATACCAATTAAATCTTTATGTGAACTTTAGCACCACTTAATACAGCTATTTCGACTGACCGAGTATCGATACTAATTAAGTCTTTGTTATCGCACATTTTGTGAATATTGAATTCATATAATTAAGCAGTGTTTCTTCCAGACTTTTTTCTCCAGGGGGGGGGGGGCGGTCGAAATTTTTCGGGGAGGGGGGGGTGGACACTAGTAAAAGTGTATGTTTACTATATAAATTCCATCTCGTTCGGGGGGGGGGGGGGTGGTAGACTTTCTTCGGGGGGGGGGGGGCTCTGCCCCCCCCCCCCCCCCTGAAGAGATGCCTGGAAGAAACTCCGTATTTAAGCTAATCATTAAATATAGGTATCGCTTCAAAAGTGAAATTTCTTTATTTATAAACTTAGGAGGCTAATATTTTATACCAGTACTATGCATATAGATACAAGAAAGAGAATATAGGTCAAAATTGTTGTGACCTTGAAACGATTTTGACAACTGCCGCTGTTATTATATTTAGTAAGATATGCATGTGTATGATTTTGAAAAGAACATTAACATTTAAGAACTGCAAAATTTCACTTAGGTTCGTAAGATAATGATGTGTACTTTGTATCACTTTTATTTGATTCTGATAGATGATAAATATTTTATGAATTTTCTACTTTAATGTCAGAAAACATTAGTGGTCGGGGGTTACACAAACATAAATATCTTCAACATTTTTTGGAATATCTGAATAAAAGTGTATCGATTTCAAGAATTGTACATACTAAATATATTATGTACCAAATTTCAGCCACATCGCTTGGTAACGTTTTGAAAAATCGTGCACGAGGTGTCATATAAGTGGTTTTTAGAAAAACGCAAAAATAAAAGGAGCTTTCTGATTGGTTAAAAATGTATTATCTCTAAGGAAGTTTAGTAATTCATTAACAATAAAGTGGTATTATATTGAAAATAATATTAATCAAAGTCAAACCGCATTTATAGTACTGAAAAAATGTATTAAAATTGGAAATTAGTAAAAAGAAGTTATTAATTAATTAAAATTAAGCATGTTAATTGGAGAAAATATTACGTAACCTTGATTATTCAAAAAAAGTAATTTTGCCACTCCTAATCAAAAATTTTTAAGAACTAATTTTGGTAGAAAATGTTCATAATAGGTTCATTTAATTTAATAAACAAAATCTCAAAATGTGATATTTTTTAATACATTAGTGAGAGCAATCTTTAAACAAATAATAAATCCTACTATTTTTTTTATTTTTTTTTCCGCTTTTTTTTTTTTTGCCTCAGACATGTTGATTTATAGCGTCAGTTGTGTGTTCGCTTTAGTATTACAGTTTTCATCATCGGCTTGTGAGGACTGATACAGATTTACAATAGTAATATTTCTTTCTTACTTGTAGCCTACTTTCATTCATTTAAGATGGTTTACTTATACATAGATCTAATACAAAACGTCTAAATATTTTTAAAAATTTAAACAATTAAAAAAAAACCCTGAAAACGCAAATTTGTAATTAAATGATGATTCAAGGGATTTTTTCCCTTCGGCGTGGTGGGTGAGGGGAGGGGGGACGGGGTGGAATTTGGGTTCTTAAGTAGAGCTGAAATAAATTTGTGATTACAGAGAATTACAATGATACAAATTTTAAGCAATCGGAAATGTTATGTTATTACAACGAGACACATCAAAGCAAACATTCTTCCCTTTCAAACATCTATATCTATAAGTCCTCAGACATTTTTTTTTTATTAATTCAATTGTTTTAAACATTTAAATCAGTAATAATAATTTGTTTGATAGATTTTACACAGCATCAAAGACTTGAACATCAATTGCATATATAATAATCAAAGGGAGAAAATTAAATGGCATAAGAACTAGACTAAAATAAGGTGTGCAAACTCGGTTTCTCTTGACTGCTTAGTTTACTGTGCTCCGTCCTTAGCTGAGGAGTCAAAAGTTCACATTGTAGTCACCCATGGACAGAAATAGAAACGACAGTGGGAGAAGTGTCTCTGTAATACCCATACTGATCTATCATTCCAAAACTTTCCATGACATAAAATTGACCGTTGGCAATGAGGGCACGCTACCTTGAAATATCCGCCAGTCCGGCTGAGTGGGGGAAGTGTGTGTGTGTGTGTGGGGGGGGGGGGTGAGGTGTGTATCTCTTTCTACCATTCAGTTTGTGCACTTTTAAAAACCTGGGAAACAGAAGACTGTCTAATGTTAATTTACTTGAGGGCTGATCGAGTGATGTTTGGCTTGAGACTGTTTTTAATTTTGTGTTTGTCTGATGCACAAAGTATACTGGTTCCTCTGCAGTTGAAACCAGTACTGCGCAGTGAGTTTTTGATACCGATGTATGCATCTAGTTTATTTGCTTCTTCTGTAGTTCCAATGTTAGTTTCCTGTAAAATTAGGATATCAATATTGTGTTTATTTATTATGTTGTTTATATAATGTGTTTTGTCCCTAGCCCCCCCCCCCCTGATGTTCAATGTTGCCAGAGTTATCATTAATTGTTTGGGGTTTTCTTTCGAACATCTGTTTCTGGAGGGCTGGATGGTGGTGGTCTTTTAACGCCAAACTTTCCAGCCGCTGGTTTGCTATCCGGTTGGGCCCTGGTTACGACCCTTTGAGATGGCGTTACTGTGGGTAATTCTTTTTTATTTGAACTGATTGCTTGACTATATGACAGTTGACCTGATACCTTTGTTGCTGATATAACCTACTTTGTGAGCTTTTAATTTCCTTTAGCGGTTTCGTTATGTTTTCTGAACTAGTGTTATCTTGAAGAATATCATTTATTGTTTCGTCGACTGCCTCCAAATTTTCTTGATTCCCATCAATTTGAGACCCTGGTCGCTATTGTCTCCATGGCTTCGGCCTCTATGGTGGTTTCTGTTACGCTTTCGTTAACTTGCTGTGATGCTGCAGTAGTATGATATGTTTCAGTTTAGTCATCTACTCCAAAGGCATCTTCTACCTCTCTACGCCCTGCTTCTCTAAGCATTTCATTTTGTCTTTCTCCGTCAATATCATAACTGTCCCAATGCTTTAAGAAATTTCTATTGTTACTCAGATGCTCCCTAACTTCTTCTTTATCATTTGCATCCCAAGGCTCAATTGCCCTGTGCTGTCCATCTACTAGCTGGACGCCGTCAAGAGCGCGAGTCCTCAAATGCTCACACATTTTAGGCAGGTGCCTGTCTGTGTTGCAGTGGCAACATTGCACCCTCCTCCCATTGAGGATTATAAGGACTCTGCTCTCCTTGTTGGCCTCATTTGTAAGTATAATATAGTGTGGGACACTCTCCACATCTTCTTTCTCCAGAGAGATGGTGAATTGGACCACATTTGATTGGTCTATTCTCTTAAATGTTGGTGTTGAGTCCTGACTGCTTAAAGATTTCAGAATTGCCATTATATCATCGTCGCTTGTCTTGGAAGGCAGCCATTTCAGCATGCCCCTTTGCCCAGATTTATCGGCGTGGGTTATTGATCTTCTCTGCACTCTGTATCTGTATGTTACCACAGGTGGCAAATCTCTGTGAAATTCTTTTAAGTGCATTTTCTCATATAGTTCCTTTGATCTAATGGTGACATACCATTTACGCAGTGTCCCGTAGTTATACAGACCTTCAAATTCAAGTGGTGATAGGCTACATAGCATACATGGCTCTCTTTTGAGTTCGTCAGCTGTGAGGGTAGCTAAAGAAAAGCCCTCTTCTATGAAAATCTCTAGAGTTTTTGGCGCATGTCCTGCCATGCCAAACTTAGGCAGAAATAGCCGTTTGATGTATTTTTCCGACATGGTTGTGGGTGAGGCCCATCCGGGCCAGGCAACACACACAAGAAATAAAAGAGAAAAAAAGTACTTACAATGTATAAAATGTGGGAAAACACACACACACACACAAGGTTCCAAATGGAAATACACACAAGTTTAAATTAGCAGTTCTCTAAATAATGTTTTCAAAACACATACGCTGTTTAGACCGTCTTTTGATCCGATTGAATACTACTATTTTTTTTTTTAAATTCAATTGTTTTAAACATTTAAATTAGTAATAATAATATATTTGATAGATTTTACACTGAATACTACTATTAAGTAGGTTACATTATAATGAGAAGGAGTCCAGGAGAATGCTTACAAGGGTGAAGTTTCATGGCTCGACATTTTAATTAGTAATAAAACT